TAATTATTGTTATCATCACTATTATTATTATCATTATTATTATTATTACTATTATTATCATTATTATTATTGTTCTCTTTGCAGCCTTGTGGAATATGCCAAATCCCGACTCGAATAGCATGGGTCGTGGGCAAAACCGCTGGCCTGAGGCGACAGATTCGCGGGTTTGGCCAGGACAGACAGAGTACTCTGCCCCTGCCCGTCTCTACCCTGGGTACGAAACTGATGCATCTGCCTCGGGGGGCTATTACTATGACCAACAGGGGCAGGAGTACCAAGGCCAGGAGTACCAAGGCCAAGGGAAGGATGGCGGGTTGTTCCGGCAAAAGTTTTCTGGTCAAAATGGTAAGTGTCTTTCATTATAATGTGATGTGTGTGTTTGTGTGTTTAGGCTATATGTCATGTGATTCATTATGTCTTTAAAAAGTTTTCAAGTGTTTCGGTTTGAGTAATACTTAGCTCAAAAGTGTGTGCTTTTCTAACATGACTAATTCTATGAAAGGATGAGCATTTGACCCAGTTGTTAGAGTTAGGGAGGAGAAATGAGAAAATATGACACAGAACATGGATTAACATGCTAATTGTTCTATATGCCTACATGTAAAGTATAACCTCATGACTTTGTGCATCGTGATGGTCTCAGCCTACTATTTTCTTTTCCTGTAGGATATAGCTGCAACTCCACAGTGACCCACCCGTGGCACGCTTGGTGAAGCAGTTCCAAATGAGGGCTATACTTTATTATTACCCATTAGTCTACCGTGGAAGGGATTGCTTCTGCTGTTATTGTTCAGTTGGCCAATTTGGGCTTGACCAACCTGCTTTGGAGACCGTGTTTTGAAAGGGAAGTTGACCCATCATGAGGATAGTCGCGATGCCGCGACTCTCCGTCTGACATTGTTGCGATCATAAACATGGGCACTTGAGACCCGATTTTGTGTATGGAACCACTGGAAATGTTAAAATTAAGTTAAAACTCTTTTCAATGAAGATTTTCCTAGCATTTCCTGCCCCAAACAAGAATCTAGACCCAGAACTGGAATAGAAAACGAACATTCTAGAAATTTGTTTACATCAGTCACTAAGGCAGTAATCGAATCTGAAATGGCTGCAAATATAAAGTTTGCAACTTGTTTAACACATTTTATTAGGATAGTAGTGATTCACGAGGAAAGAGGTTGTGTTTCAATGCAAAAGTGTGAGGTATATATAGCCCTCTGTGTCCCTGGCTGCTTTGAATTGTATCACTCACACTAGAACTAGGAGAAATTTGACACCACATCATCAGGACCAACACACAGGCGAAGACACTTTGACAAACGAACAAATTAAATCTATGACAAAGTATTGTTTTGAAAATGTTTTATCTTGTTTTTTCTTCACTCAATTTCCAGTTCAATGATGTTTGGTTGATATTTCTATCTTAAAATATAAGGAAGTTATAAGCATTTTTCATGACCCACCCTAATTTTCATGAAGTTCTCAAGTTAATTCACCTCCGGAGGACCAGACAGTGCCTCTTGAAGTGTTAAACTGGCTCTTAGGCTCCAAATAAGGCTTAGTGTATGTTATTTACATTTCAAGATGTGTCCTGTTTTCTCTCTTTTAGATATCAAGATCTAAGTGTCTTCACTATATAAATATATGTCAAGAAATTAGAGCTTTCTTGACGAAATGAGTGTCTTCTCTTTATAAATATATGACGAGAAATAAGTGCCTTTGCTATATCAAGAAATAAGTGTCTTTGCTATATAAATATATGTCAGGAAATTAGGGGTTTCTTGAAGAAATGAGTGTCTTCGTCGAGAAATAAGTGCTGTTGCTATATCAAGAAATAAGTGTCTTTGCTATATAAATATATGTCATGAAATTAGGGGTTTCTTGAAGAAATGAGTGTCTTCTCTAAATATATGTCGAGAAATAAGTGCCGTTGCTATATCAAGAAATAAGTGTCTTTGCTCCCCCAGACGGATTGTCAACATCACTCCCAACGTCGAGGTATGACACCACACCACTACAACAGCAGTGGACAGCTCACTCACAGTACCCGCAGCATGAAAGGGATGGTGGCATGACGACAGAGACGAACCGATCCACGACGTACCAGTGGCAGCAGCAGCAACCACAGCAGCAACAACAGCAGCAGAATTACCTTGACCAAGCATCCTGGGACCAGACAAGAGACCCATACCTCACTCCGCACCGCACTTCTTTGGACACAAGACAGTCCTACCACCCACAAACCACAAGCAGTAGGCAGACATTTGCCCCGCCTCACCCCTCAACATTTTCCCTTGAGTCATCAGAGTCCCGCTGGTCAGCTCAGACAGGGAACAGTGCTGCAGCTTCTCAGCGCTGGTGTTAACGGTCAGCTTCCTAGATTCCGAGTTGTCAATGAGGGAAACCTGTACTGGTCTGCAGATGACATTAGTAGATTTGTTTCCTCCCCCTCTCCCCTATAGTCTGTCCCCCACCCCCCAAACCCCTTATAGTCAATACATACAAGGAGTTCCTTCCGCCCCTCTTTACAGTCAGTAGATACAAGTAATACAAGGAATTCCTCTACACCCCCCCCCCCCCCCTTTTTTTTTCCTCTGACAAAGATTTCACCAAGAGATTTTTTTCATCCACAACGGACACTCAAATCCTCTTAGCTGAGAGAAATGTGGCTTCTCCACTGTCCTGGTGGGTGGTTGGCAGGTGCTTGAGTGCTGTTTGCTCCTTCTTTCCTTTCAAACGTCTATCGTCCATATCTCCTTCTTGTGTTTGTTACTCTCTTGTAACACCTCTAATCTTTGGCACTTTTTGACTTAATTGTGTTGTATTTCGAAGTCCAGAAATGTTAATGTCTGTTGTGAGAGGATGAAATGATGACCTCAGTGAGGTCAAATTTAAGTAATGGCCAGTACTTACAAACATACACGTGGGTGGTTGACGGGTGTTCTGGTGTGGTTTGCTCCTTTCCTATCAAACATCTATCGTCATGACCTCTCATCCTTCTTTTTTGTGTTTGTTACTCTCTTGTAACACCTCTAATCTTCGGCACTTACATGACCTTATTGTGTTGCAAGTGCCCTAAAACTTTTACTAAAACTAAAACAAACATACACGCAAGCACACAGCCCATTGCCACACTCCTCACGAGGTATTACCTCAGAAATACGCAAGTCTGATATACAAAGAGAGAGTTTAGATATATATTATCAACGTCATGACCAAAAGCCAACTCTCTCTCTAACCTTGTTGGTAGTTGGAGATTGATGGGTGCATTGGTGTGGTCTTCTCCTTGTACTTTCTCTAACTTTCAGTGTTACTATTCTCCTTCTATATATATCCTCTGTGGCAATTATGATTACTAGTGCTGACTGTATGAATTGGAGCTCAAAATCAGAGTTGATGCAATAGTGTGTGTGTGTGTTTGAGTCTTTGAAGTGGCAGCTGGACACTTGTGGCTTTTGCATAGACTTTTTTTTTTTAGTCAACAGTAGAATTAGGTTTCTGTGTTACTGTACTTTTACAAATATGTGCAATGTGTTTATTTGTAGATATTTGACCGAATGAGATGTGCTGATGAAATGTTTTAACTCTTTTAGAGATGAGTTATAAATTTTAAATTATTATCTGGACAATTTACATTTTTATCAATTGTTTATGTTGTACAATCCTTGTATGTTTTGTGATGATTTTATCAAAGAAGATAATATTGTAATTAAAACAGCTGTTGTGCCCGTAAAGTACTGACCTTGTTATTTTTTGTGAATATCAAAATATTTGTTCTGTTTTGTTTGTCCTCCTGTTGATTTGTTGGAGTGTGTTCTTACTCCAAAAGCTATAGAAAATCATGGACTATTGAGTAGATGTTTTACTTGAAGTTCACATCCCAGTGGGAGTGTATCTCAACCTGGTTTGTGTAGGAAATTTGGGAGATTTCTTATGTCATTTAATTGGAGCAGATTCTTCTTTCCTATCAAACATCTATCGTCCTTAACTCCCCTTCTTCTTTTTTATGTTTGTAACCCCTCTAATCTTCTGGTGCTCATATGACCTTATGCAATTGTGAGCGCTGTAAAACCTCTATTAAAACAAATCGGAGCAGATTGCTGGAAGAAGCTTCTTGTAGGTCTTACTGCTTTCCTACTTCTCTGTTAATTCTTTTTTGCTGGTTCGAAGCATTTTGTTTAACTCTTTTAATGTTGATACAGATGGTTGTTAAAGAGCATCACTGGTAGTCCCAACTTCATTGGCACACTTCAGTTATGACTGTCGCTTTATTTTCTCAACACTCGTCGACACTCTTTTCTCTTTGACTCGAATCCTTACTGTTAGGGATAAAAATATAAACATGGGTGGTTGGTGGGTGCTCTGGTGTGGTTTGCTTCTTCTTTCCTATCAAACAAACATCTATCATCCTTATCTCTCCTTTTTTGTGTTTGTTACTCTCTTGTATTACCTCTAATCTTCTGCACTTATATGACCTTATTGTGTTGCAAGTGCTGTAAAACACTTGCTTATACCTTTAAAAAAATATAAATATATGATATGTACAACAGAGGTAAACTGAGATTTCATTATAATATATATGGGAGGCAGTGTGGAGGAATCAGACTTTTGTCAATTTTTGGGCATGTAGCGTAGAGTTATTGGTATCATCTTAAAGCTTGTTCATTTACCTTTTTTTGTATGAAAGAAATATCCATTTATCTTGAATGCAAGTCGAGATATTTGAAAATGAAGGAGGTAGGGGTCACATTTTTTCAGAGATAAAATTACTGAGAAAATGGCCGCCAAAGATTAGTTATTTCCTTAGCTTAAGAGTCTTTGATAACTGAAAATTTACTTTTTCTGTGCCTTTAATCAACGTTATTCAGAAATATCCACACAGAAATGTGTTCTTCATTGGGCATGAAAGGTGTTGAGCCAAAAAACAAAAGTTTGATAAAAATTCACAAACCTTCGGAAAAATGCAGGTTTCTTCATTTTGATTATTTTGACGAGAGCCTGATTCCACCGCGCTGCCTCACATATTGACATTCTGCTGGAATGTCAAATCCCACTCAGCCCTGGTTGGCCCCGACAGGCAGAGAGGCAAAGCAGCTTGACAAAAAAAAAAGATTATATTGTCGACAAGACACAGAATATTTATAGTCAATGAAACAAACTCTGTACATTTGGAAAGTCTCATTTTGCACATCTAGTCATCGTTATGCTTCTCAGCAGGTATCAAGCTGATGTTCCATTCAAAACCCTGCTTTCATTTGGGCATACAGATTTATGTAGACCATTCAGCTGGTAGGTATACATGTTTTACAGTACAGTATACAATATGTACATGTAATATAAATTAAAGGTAGGACTGCTTTCTACTTTCCAAATCTTTTAAGAGTTTAAACTGAGGGCTTTCTCAATTCATGGGCATGGTGGGATCCATTCCAATCATAGTATGTTGTGACTTGCCTTGCTGTCAATATATTTTTTAAATTCTACGTTGCACATGCTTCAAACAGTGGGCCAAGGCCTAAGTAACATAAGGAATGTTTCTCTGGCGGCCTGTTGTGCTGCCACTGTCAGGACGGCCTCTGAAGTAGGGGACAGGCGGCTGAGCTTTGGGCCGATTTTCATCCATCAGGGTGAATTTTTTTTTCTGTGTTAAATTTGATTTCTCTTTTGTTTCATGCCTCTTGAAATGATCTCAACAGCTCCAAATGATGGAACTACGTTATAAAAATGTTTTAAAGGGTTTTTTTCCTTTGTGAAGTGCTTCTTTGTGTTGCTAGTTTTTCACGTTAAAACTTTACAATTTACAGCCGATCTTCTGAGGGGATGGTGTCGTAGATTACTTTTGCAAAAAAAAAAAATCTTATTTATAGTGTTTAAAACTTTGCACATATTGTGATAAGACGTAAATCTGGGAAATAGACAGGTTTTGTACCCTGATAACGTATCGAGAAAAAAAATTCAGGCCTTTATGTAAAAATTTTTTTTCTAAATTTAACCACCCTAAAAATACAGAAATTTTCAAATTCCGAAAGAAATATATAAATTATTAATTTTTTGTAAAATAAAGTTGTCAGTTATCCAGATTTACCCTAAAAGGAATGTTCTGTAGCACTTTTATCTTCTTAAGTGGAATAGTTTTTCAGCTGAACATACTCTACGTTTTGTGTTTATTTTCAAGATGGCCGCCATTACCATAGCAATGCAGACGTTTACACAATATTTGAAAAATGATTTATCTTGTCCTAGCTGTACCGAGTAATATAGGAAAGTTTGAATTTAGTTCTAATAACAACAAACATATATTTTTCAGCCTGTTCCCTTAGGGCATGGTGCGGGGGGGGGGGGGGGGGGGGGGGGGGGGGGGATTTGAAATTTAATGTGGTGGCATCAATAGTGGAGAATTTGGTCATGAAGTAAAATTTTGAAAATGCATTTGTGTTGCTATGGTAACGGCTGACATATTGGAATCTCATAGAAAAATGTACACATTTCTTTAAAAAAAGAACCTATCACAAGGTTATAAATGATTATAAAATATTATAACTGGTTTTGAAGCCTTCTGTGGCTGTTTTAGTGGATGGGCTTTGTATTTTGATGTAGGAGGACACATTTTTTCAGGGGGCTCTCGTGGCCTCGTATTTACGGTATTCGCCTCTCATTCAAAGGTCCCGGGTTCGAATCCGGGTAGCGACCGAAACATTTTCTTCTCTAAAATTGTCTCCTTTCACCTCCTTTCATGCTCTCTAGTAATATTATTCTGTTGTCTGCTTTCGTCTCCACTTTCTGCCCCCACCCCATCACATCTGGGCTCCTGACCCTTTCTGCAGCCTTTCCACTGCTTATCTGGATCCTTCTCACTGCTTTCTTTCAGCCACATCTCTGATCTCATGGTAGGTGTGTCCCGCTCGCTAATATAGTGTCCCTGCCGGTCAATATCAGCCATATGAAGGACATTTAAAAAA